ATGTTTTGCAAAACCAGTTTTTGGAGTTAGAATCCTAAACTTTTAATATTTGACAAGAAAGAAAGAAAAGTCTGCTAAAATTTGTGAAAGGTACTAAGATGTAGTATTTACTCACATTATATTGAGTAGAGTAACAAATTCAGTTACTTCGCAACTGCAATCTTTAAGCAATGAGTTTTAATACACAACTAGAATTTATAATTTTTCAGGAATTCGGTAATGCCCCAAGTTAATAAAACAACTTCTACCCTCACACACGTCGAGCCTAAGCATGATTTGTCAATTATTACCATAAGCAGTGGCACTTACAGCAAATGTTTAACTTGAAGTTATGTCAAAACAGTTTTCAAAGTGATATAATTTGTGTTACATCTGCAAAGGACTACATGTAATGGTTCATTTAAGACGTGGCCTCTTAGTTGCTGGTACAATTTAGTAATGAATGTGGAACAAACCAATGTCAAGATTTTCCATTCAGAGAACCATAGGGACCCTGTCTCCCAAACCTGGCATTAGATTCGTCTGTCATGCCTTTGGGACAACCTTGCAATTTGCTTTTATATGACTGACACCTCCTTAATCTCCTATGACACTAACTTAGTCAAGTTTCAGCAACACTGGTCTAACATATTGCTTATATTTTCCTCTCTCACATCTGGAAGATGCCTTCCCTGTAGAAAAATGTTCAGTTCTCTGCTCCTAGTCTCTAGAGCGGTACATTGACACATCACATACTTTGTTAATTAAAATCAGTCCATTTACTCATCAGATGACTGTGAATGTTTACTATGTGAAAAGCAATGGTCCAGGCAGTGGAGATACACAGTGAGTAAAACATGTAAGAGCCCCCTTTTAAATGAAGTTTACATTGAAAAAGAGGGAGAAACACAAAAACATCCTTTATGTGGTATTATAGACAAGCATTTTCCAAAACTCTCTCGAAAGCATAAATAACAGAATAGGACAAGAAGTGTTTAGCTGGGGAGGAGGTTGTTGCAATGTCAGATATAATGGTCAGGGGAAACTTTATTCAGCACATGGCATTTTAGCAAAGGTCTTAAAAAGAAAAGGCAGTATGGATACAAGGGAAAGGTGATTTTCAGACAATGGAAAGAGCAAATGCAAAGACCCTGAAGCAGGAGAATGCATGCCTGGAATATTCAAGAAAAAGCAAGGAGGCCAGTGTGCCTGGCAGAGAATGAGCCAAGAGATTAGTAGGATATGAGGTGAGAAAGGGAAGAGAACAGACTTGTGAGGCTCCATAAGCCATTACAAAGATGGCCCTTTTTCCACTTTGAGGGAAATGATCTACTTGCGAATTTTGCGTAGAGATGCAACAAGATTTGACTTATTGTTAAGAACATTACTTTGGTTGGTATATTAGTGCAATCTGCAGATGAGCAAGTGTGTGCAACAGAAATGCTTGCTAAGAAGCTACTGCGACAATTGCAGTGACAGATAATGCTTATTAGTGAATAATATAGATGAAAAGTTGGGAGTTAAAATAATGAAAAGTAGTTGAAGTCCATATATTTTGAAAGTAGAGGCTGCAAGATTTTCTGACTGTTTGGAAGTAGAATGTGAAAGAGAAAAATAAAAAATTATTAGAAGTCTTCATGATTTGAATAATCATAAGAAAATATTTGGAACTTACTTATATGGGGAAAATCTGTAGGGAAAATGTGAAGAGAAATGCGAAAGATGGGAGACAGGTTTGTGGTGAGTTTATTTGCAGAAGTCAAATGGACATCCAAATGATGACGTAAATTTGGCAACAATTTGGGGAAGAGAACTGAATTGAATATATGAATATGGGATTGGTCAGTTTCTGTGTGACAATCTATGAGACTAAACGGCATTCCTGATAGAATATAGATACAAAAGACAAGGGTCTGAGGACTGAGTCTTAGGGTTCTTCTAACAGATCAAGTCTGGGGAGATAGAAAAAAGTGGTTATTAAAATGGGAGGAAAATCAGAAAATGTATTGTTCTGGAAGCTAAAGGAGAAAAATGATTAATGAAAAAAAATTGCTGACAGATACTTCAAGTAAGAGGAAGACTAAAATTTGATTATCAGTTTAGCAATGTGATCGATATTTCTTCTTACTGGGGAGAATCAATGAAGAAACCAGAGGTTATGATAACATGCTACATCATTATACATCCTCCTTACCTTATGCCAGCTCCTATAGTTTCCATGGATCTCTGAACTGATACCGGAATTCTTTTTATTTTATTTTATTTTTCAGTCTGCTAATCAATTGCTTGTATTTGTGTAATGTCAGGTTTTATGTTAATATTTTCAATTTCATCTATTTCAAAATGAAATGATATGCAGGAGGTAAAGTGAGACTATTATCATTTCAGAAAATATAATTTCAGGAAACAGAAGTACTGGTTAGTGGTGACGTTAGTCATCATTTGCAACTGCGAAAAACTTTCCTGCTCGCTCAGCTTTCATAAAGAGAACAATGATGCCTCTTTGCTTGTTCCTCTTGCTTGTGTGCCACTTCCACTTATACCTTTTATTTATTCTTGCTCAGTCCCTGGTGTTTTGGCCCTTAGTTCCTTCTGAGCAGCTGCATGCCATGACCTTTAAGGACAAATATTGATATGACTTCAGAGCTTCAGGGAATTTGGGCTTTTTCCAGGCTTTGAAACCAAAGGACAGTTTTCATATCTCCTGATCTCTATCCATTTCTGCAGGATATAGTTCCTCTTAGAAAAGAGGAGACCTGTGCAAGTGACCAGCACTGAACAGGTGCACGTATATGCACCCATGCTCCTGTTAGAAAAACGAAGATATGAGGCTCACCACCCATATGGTCAGCAAATTCTGGGTGTTTGATTTAATATATCTTTACAGTTCATCTCCTTTCCTTCTTTTCCCTGATTCTTTTTTAGATTTTTTTCCATCAACCCTTACAATCAAATATAGGAAGTCTCTGTGGACCTAAGTGACCTTATTAATATGATAGCAGTTATGTCTTTGACTTGGCTTTCTATTAATGAAAATTCATTATCACAAGTTCTGGCATATAAGAATATGGTTGGAGAAAAATAACTAATCAAAAACTGTAAATGATGAAGTATAAATTACAAACATCGTATGGCTTGTGAATTGTATCAGGGTCAACTTCCTGATTGTAATATTGTACAATAGGGTGTGCAAGATGCTACCTTTGGGGGAAAATGGATCGAGGTGACATACAATCTCTATTCATTTTTAATACTGTGTGTGAATCTAAGGTTGTCTTAGAACGAAAAGATAAAAATAGTATGCAAGTAAAACAGCACTCATGTCAGACTTCTTTTCTTCCAAGGTCATCAAAGTCCTGACACTAGGCAGGAAATGTACTAGCGAAACTACTATCTTAGGTAGAATTCCACCGTGTTGGCCTTTGGAAGTGGTATGGGAAGTCAAAGGACTAAGTGGGTAAATGGCAGCCTGGGAAGACAAAGGTGGTAATGAACATAATTTTTAATTTTAGTGCCAAATGCAATAATGGCATTTGCAGCATAATTATGAGGATAGATTCCGTATCCACTTGGTTGTCATACTCCTTGTCAGCCACCTGCTGCAGGATCATGTATATTTTGACAAGAATTATTCAATCCATGTCTCTGTTTGGTCATTCTTCCAATTTCCAAAGCTAAACCAAACACGCAGCCCTTGTTTCCCTTCCACTTCTTTTCTAGTCATCTGGCCTTCCCTTCTTTTCCCAGAAATTCTTAAGATCATTGACTCCACTGACGGAAGTCAGGGTTCTGACTGACTAATAAATAAGTTCACCAGTGAAAAGCCTACTTTTCATTCTGTTTAATTACAGGCTTCAGAGACACTCAAAATGGAGGGTGTCTTAGCGACAAATAATACTGTAGGCTCAGTTTACTTCTGTCCTATTGGCATTGGCACCGAGCCCTTCCTCTGCTTTGAAATTCATGGCTGTGACTGTGGCTGCATACTAAACAGACTGTGGCCACCACACAGCCTGCTCGGCCTGCCCAGATGTGGCTCAAATAATCCATGCACCTTAATGGCCAATTCAGAGCAGTAGTTTAAGTAACTAATATGGCTCATTTTTTTCTAATGCAATCTATTGTATGTGATCATAAGTGAGTTCATATATTAATTTGATTTGGATTTGGTGAACTATACTGGAGCTTGAACTATAATATGCTTCTTTGAAATTCTACATGTTTGGCTTCAAAATTGGCCCTTGGAAATATAAGATGTTTAAATGACATATATAATATATATAATATATATTATATATGTAATATATATAATGATTTATATATATCAGAGAAATGTTGTTTTCCCAATTTTTTTCTTTTACTCTCATTTTCCCTTTACAGATGAAACCTTAGAGATCTCTCCATATTAGCTGGTTTCTGTGACCTGCTTCCACCTTGAAAAACACCTTCTAAGATCAGCCTTGCAGCTTCCAAGTATACTGTTGAATAGATAAAACCATTTTGTATTTAGCCAGTTGTATTTTGACGGACTTTCCTCTCTCAGGGAATATCACTGTATATGATTATTTGTACCATTTGTAGGTACAAATAATCTATATCCACCGGACACATTTTGGAAAGGATAATTCTTGAACAAAGGGTATATTTTTAGTTTGATAGATTTCACCTAATTGTCTTCCAAAGAAATAATGCAGTCTTCTCAATTGTATATGAAAGGATGGTTCTCTGAGTCTACCCTTTCCTACCGCATTATCAAAGTTTGAACACTGCCAATCCAGTAATCTTAAACTCAAGGCTGGTTTAGACCTGGAAATGAAAATAATGTATAGAACAAAAAGAACAAGGAGGATCTGCAAAGGATAGAAAACTGAGTATATATTCCAAATGTGAGATTCTATGAAAAAAACAATTTTTTTAAAACTTGCACTTGAATTTTAAAATTTATTCAAGCAGTCAGCTAGCTATGCAAATCAACTTTAGAATCAGCAAAGTGCTATCTCTGAGTACATCATGAGTTAAGTATGTCTAGTTTCAGACCATTCAGTGTCACGTTAGTGATCTCGACAATGGGGACCTGGTGTTTGCAACTATTCCAGGTAACCATCTCTCTTTCTGGGAGATTGTCTGAAATAGTCTGAGAACTTTATTTGCTATAGATTTGTTTTCTGGGCAGCATCACTACTCTTGCATTTAAAAAATTTATTTTAAGAGAGTGTTACCAGCATCTTATAATATTTATTGGTCAGAGATATTGAAAACAAAATATTCATTACATTAGTCTTCTGTCTTCTTTATATTGTGCTATTGCTATTGAAATAATGTGATGCAAATTTAAGCTTTACTTCGCTTTGCTATGCTGTGAAACTTTTTAAAAATCAAAAATGCTATGAACAAAGAGCAAGGTGCTATGGCTGAATTAATTTAAGAAATGCTTACTGTTGCCTGCAACCATTCTGGATTTCAGTGCTGACTTATGTAGACAGAATCATTTTAGGTTTCCTTTTCCTTCTAATGCTTCAGCATCCCTTCCTGAACAATATCTGCATCCTTGTATCTGTGTTATTTCAGTGCTATATATCTGAAAGATTTAGACTCAAAACATATTAAGACTTCTCTTGCCATTTCCTGATAATGGAGAAATTTGACAGCTAATGCATTGGCAGTTAGGTGGTAATAATGAAATGCCATGTACTTTTTGCCGAGGTACAACACGTAGACAACACTAAGAGGTGGACTGAAAGTGAAATATAGGCTTTGCTTTTTTTTTTTTTAAGCAAGATCCCAAATGATTTCACCTACTCATAAATCTCAAAAATAAACTTTCTTACGGATAAAATTTGAATGGTCATTTTCCTCTGTTAGCATGCAAATCGATTTGCAGCATTCTAGCAAAAAAGAATGCAACTCATTTTCTGTGCTTATAAATTGTTCATTACCATGCTCTCTGATGTCCAATTCGTGGCTCCATCTGCAACTCCACAAATCTCTTTGTCCAGACAAACTTGGTAGTATAAATAGAAGGTGCTAAAGAGGAGGCATTTGAAATTAGGGGGAAAGTACATTTCTCAGTAAAAATCCCAAGTCTATCATTTAAAATTTTGTAACGTGGTACTTGTAGCTATATGTTATAGTTCAGGAGAATAAATGGTTCAATTGACCTCATCAACACTTCTATAGCTACATAACGGTGCCATTTAACGATTTTTCTCATACACAGAAAGATTCCCAGTTCATAGGTGGAAACAAACAAAGAAATATAAGCAAAGTCTCTAGAAAGAACTACTTTCTCTTCTTGTGATTGTGAGTAGGTGATGTTGTAATCTATAAGGGTCAACACAGAGAACTAAGATAATTTTTTAAATAATTAGGGCTTGAGATTTTTAAAGGTTATTTCTCCCTTTGTTTGATAAATAGAATATTGTGCCTCTCAACAGAATTTCATGTGATCTTAAAAGGAACCTGGTCTTTGAATAGTTTTAAGTTACCCTTCATGCCTAGCACCCATTACTACTAATAGGATTGATTTCTGTGTCCATATCCTGGGAACTTGGTTCATTTATGTGGAATTTCTTGTGGGTAATGAAACCCCTTCCTTAACCTAAAATAGGAAAATAAAGAGAAAGGGCAAGATGCACAAAAATTCTTTAGAGTAAGCAAAATCTGCCTACAAAGAAAACAAAAAATGGTTTTCAAATCTGCATACAGTGGTATGTTGGATAGGAATCTGATTCACAATATACATCTCCTGTCACTGGCGAAATTAAAAATCTACTCAGAGAATTTTTTTTCAATTAAAACTCTGCACCAACAATAAAGTATACTGAGCTTTTAATTAAAGTAAACAAATGAAAAGATGTAAATCCACAATGTCTCTAGGTACTGCTTGTATTAAAGGATTATACTGATGAGATGTTTGGATTTTATTGTTCTAAACATGTGTTTCAGTTGGTACACTCAGATCTACTGTGTGAAGAAAATGAAACATAAGTACATAGCCAGAGATTCTATGTTTTGACTTGCATTTAGAAATTCAAAGTATTAAAAATGTTCAAGATATTTGAAAAGCCTCAAAAGAGTTCCAAATGCTCATTGTGATCATGTAAGAAAAACAGAAGTGAATAGTTTTTAAAATGGAGATGGCTCACCCAAATTTCTCATTCCTCATTCTGTATTCTTTATTCACTTTTTCAAGTTAATCTCTTTTGTTGCATAATCTGATTGTTAACTAGTTATGGAACAATAAATAAATGCCTGCTTAATAAAGAACTCTGAAAAAGGCTACAAATGCCAGTTACATTATTTTCAGTATTGTTGATTATATTTAAATTTTCCTTATAATAAAGCACACTTTTATAACAAAAATGCAGATGGATCAATTTTTCTAAAGACAGGCAATACAATTTTTTTTCATGTACTTATTGTGCTACTTCTTTTGACAAGACTTTATTCAGTACAGTTTCCCAGTTTTGGATTGGGTCATTTGTTTGGGGGGATGCTAATTTTTTAGTCCTTTAAATTAGATATTTGTCCTCTGTAGAAGAATAGCTGGCAATGTTTTCCCCATTCTGCAGGTTGTTCATTTGCTCTGTTGATTGTTTCCTTTGCCTGCCATGCACAAGTATTTTCACAAAATTAAATATCACATTGTTCTCCTGTATTCTGGTTAGAAAATATGGTGAAATTTTACATTTTAAAATTATTATAATAGAAGATACAGTGCCACTAATTCCTCTCAAAATATTCCCCCGTCTTGAAACATACTTACCATTTTTGCCACTTTCTTGAGCAGTTCTAGAAGTCCTCTTTTGTAAGTGTCTTAGTTGCACTGTTGTAGCTGCCTCAATGTCCTGAATTTATTCAAACCATTTACCTTTCATGGTTATTTTGACTTTGAGGAGGAGCCACAAGTTGCATGGTGACAGGTCCAGTGAATAAGGTGGATGAGAACACACCATAATGTTTTTATGAGCCTGACTGTCCACTGCTGGCAGCTGGCAGCAGCATTCACCATATTTTTGATCAAGATGTGTGAAAAGACTCATGAAAGAGGACTTCCAGAACTGCTTCACACTGTGGCAAAAATTACGGGATAAGTGTGCTTGAGCTGAAGGAGAAGTGTTTTGAAGTAAATTAATAGCAATGTCTCTTTTACTGCAGTCAATTTTTATTTGAACATTCACTGTAAATTTTGATCACCTCTAGTATATGAAAATCCTAAACTACAAGTAAATGAATGAGTAAAATAAAGAGAGGTGATAGGAAAGAAGAAAGTAGAATTTTTGGAGATCAGGAGGGTGTCCGGGGCAGGAGTATAATAAGAAAGAGGGAAGTAAAGGGAATAAAACGGATTAAAATATATATATGATAAAGAAGAAAGTAGAATTTTTGGAGATCAGGAGGGTGTCCGGGGCAGGAGTATAATAAGAAAGAGGGAAGTAAAGGGAATAAAACGGATTAAGATATATATATGATATATATTAAAATATATATATATATATATATATCCCCCAAGCAAACATGCACACACCAAAATGAAATGAAATGAGGAAATTCAATTTTCGTTATGATGATCAGCTTTGTTAAACAAATAAGGGACTTGGTTTCTAGGTATTTTTGTTCAGTAAATTCCCCTCCCTTGAGGCTTAAGGGTGCTTTCGATTCATGAAAGAATCATGATGTCATCTACAGCTGCACCCACACTCGAAAGTCACAGTGATGATGAGAGAGGCATGTTTCTAGACAGTTCCATTTCAAATATGAGCAGATGCACCTACATTGTAACCTGTATCAGACATGCTTTTCAAAGTGCCTTTGATATGAATTATGTGAATAACTAATCACTTTTTCTTGCTTTTTGTGCTATAGATGTTAATGGCTCTCAATTAAATTCAGGGGATGGGGAGAAGTTACCATTAATGATGCTGCTGGTGATTAATGATAACTGTAATGCACTATGACTTAGTGCAAGTGTCAGAAAAGCACTTTTGTCAAGTGTTTTCTTCTGGCTGTAGCTCGCTCTGCCAGCCAGCTGTTTTCAATTATCATTGCCTATTACCCTCTAAGCCAGGGCCTCTCAGCACTGGCTGGAAAGTAAGAGACCAGGCCAAGCAGGATGCTTTCTTTGGCCCTGGAATCATTCACTCGTTTGTAGTGGATCATTTTACTGTTGACAATCTATTTTATTAAGTATTGTATGTGCTACTCTTTCAGCTTTTGCATGACTATTACTCTTCCTCTTGCAATAATTTTTGGACCTACTGTTCTGCTCTGTCTTTTGCTATTTCTGATAGAATGGAGATTTTGATTGTTTGTATATTTACCTGACTCTGGTCTTCATGGTCATCCTCATCTTACCTTCTTGCTTTCTGCCTTTCACTCAAAATAACAGAACACAGACATTCATAATTGGAAAGAATCTTAAATTTTCTAATCACTGTGGTAGGAATATATTCTGTTGAAAAAATGTTGACCTTGACAGTAGATCTTGGGGGCTACTAGCCTCCTTTTAGGGGGGAGAAACTGAAAACCAGAGAGAGATGGTAAACTGAGAGCAGGACTTCAGCTGGTCCTGAGCCATGACCTCTTTTCTGGTTACTTTGCTTTGCGTAAAAGTATCTGTCATATTTATCATTATTTTCCTCGTGAGTGAAAACCAGAAATTGCCTCAAAGCAAATACTTGTTAGCATGAAATAAGCCCAGAGAAGTCAAGACCATGGCTGAGACTGTAAGAAAGTAGTAAGTCTATTGAAAATACACACAATGTCTTGAATTTTTTGCACAAGATGGTGTTAGTAGGATGAGTATATAAAGAAAGGCCTGCTATTTTCTAAATCTATAAAGGCCCTACATCTATCTAATATTATCTTTATCTATATGTATTCTAGATTTTCAATTTAGAATTGTTTCTTTGAATTGAGACATTTTCTCTTTTTAAAATATGTTACCTGGCCTAGAAAATATATTCATTTTTGACCAATACTGCTATAAGAGAAGCTAGATTATAGGTAAAAAGATCCACAGGGTGGCCTAATCCAAATGTCCTCTAGAAATGAGAAACTTAAAGGGCTGTATTTGCCCAAGTTTCATGTGAAAAATTAAAGCATAAAAGGGAGCCTTGGATTAGAATGCAAGAGAATAGAAAAGGAAAAAAAAGAAAAATTTTAAGAGTAAAAGGTGGTGTAGGTTGTGGAGGCTGTAGTGGGAAGAAAGAATCTTCAATTAGCCAGAAATAATATTTTTTATTAATCAACTTCTGTGTTCTGAGAATATTGTGATGTATTTTCTATTTTTAAAAAAATCCAATCTATTATTGTTTCCATTTAAATTTGTTTTCAAACACCACAATCTGACTCCTTTTTTGATACCTAATGTCTTTATTTTAGTTTAATAACTACATTTTTAGCATGAACAATACATTACCTTGTTCTGTATAACATTTAAATATTATAAGTAATTTATAATCCATTCCTCTCCATAACTAATTATGATGAGATACAGTACATGTATTTACTTGAACAGAATGGCTTACAAAATGTTGATATTTTATGCATTTGCAGTAGTCTGTATTTAGTTGTATCAGTGAATTTCCTAATGATTTGCTACCACCTCACCTCATTCATTGAGGATAGACATTTTGTTGAAGAGGAGGAAATCAAGGAAGAAACAACACTTAGATTTGAACCCAGGACTGACTCTAAATTCTAAGTCTAGAATTTTAACCACAAGTCATATCGTAGAGCCAACATTTAATTCATTACATTTTTTGTGAAATACCTGAGGTATATATAGTTCACACATTTTCCTAGATGCTATGCAATTTACCATCGTTTTCTGGTTGACATGATTCAATAGCCATCACTCCCCCCAAATTATTGTAGCTGAACTGCACTTTGGCTTATCTTGAAGAATAATTTTCAGAAAGAACAAAACTCAGGAGATTTGCTATTCCATTTATCTTCAGAGTACATGGAAATATTATCCCTATTATTAACATTGTCACTATTGTTCCCTGTTTATGAATCTCATACTTAATTTTTCCCTAGTTTCAATTTGAGGAATAGTTGTACTTCTGGTGAGTAAAGGTGCCTTCTTTGTTCATTTTAGAGGACACCATGTACCCAATTTCCCTCACCCTGTTAACTGCTAGAAATCTTAAACCAGCTCTGGAGCTCAGTTCTAATTTTCTATGAAGGCTTTACTACATTTTGCTTACACACTGATCTCACCCTTGACTTGCTCTCTTTTTCTGAAACTCTCTGTGCTCTCGCGTCTATATATTTTTGTATTTTTAGTATTTCCTTACAGCGTGGTGGGACATAGGATATTGACTGCAGTCAGACTGCCGCATTCCACACTGTCATGTGAAGCTACAGCTAGGGTTTTGTTGCTAGTTTGGTAGAAAGCTCCGTGAACACACAACCAAACCATTTGCATTTAAAATCTGCTTCTGCCACTTCCAGTCATATTATTTTAGGAAAGTTACTTGTTTTCCATGTGTGGGTTTTCTGAATTGTATAAGAAGATTATAACAGTGTGGCCCTACCCTATAGTGTCATAAGTTTCAACACATGAAGCTATATTCCTGGATTAGAAGACTGCCCAGCACACAAAATACTGTCCTGTAGCATGGGAGAAAATAGGGCAGTTCTGCTTCTAGAACTGATCACATTAAGGGATTTATAATTTTAGGTCTGTGATTTCTCAGCACTGAGAACAATAAAGATCAACTTGCCTAACCATCCATGTAGAGCACAAATCATGTTCACGTCTTCCAAGTAAAGAAATGCCCTCATTTAAAATTTTAATAATTAGAATAGTGTTACAGTTCAGGCACTGTTTCTTAAGAACTCAAAATGTACTGCTGAAAAACTGATTTTAAGAAAGAAAAGGAAATAATGGTGAGGAACAAGGGAGTACATGGAGTCAGAAGTTCCATATTCTAGTTTCAGTTTCTTGACCACCTAGTGATGGCTCCACTTTCTATCTCAAATCCAGTATCAGTTGTAGACTGTGTAAACTCCTTAGGGTAAATAAATGATCCCACAGTTTCCAAAATCTTTGAAATTACAGGATAACTGCATTTCCTCAGCTCACTGTTCCAGGTCACCTTATTCTGCTCATCAGAACGTCCACCGGGGGGTGCACCGGGCTCAAATAGAAAATGAAATGTCAGTTCATTAGACAGCACTGAAAACAAAACTGGGTGGTTCAAAACTTGGACGAAATAAAATGAAGTTCTCAGCATTTAGAATGAATTTCAAGTTAAATATGTTTCTTTGAAATGAGAAAAAAGAATATCAGAGATTTACATATGGAGAAAGATGAAATGATGCATATTCCCAGCCATGGGTTTAGAGGCCAATGATCAAAAATAAGAATCTACTGCTTTTTATTAGGTCCAGACACCATGACAATTCTCCTACATTTATATCTTAACTATCACTATATTTTAAAGATCTTTATGCTTTAATAAAGTATTTTAATACTATCTAACTATAAAAAGTGATACTTATACATTATGAAAATTCAGTATTAAAAAGAAAAAGGTCCTTATAATACAATCTTTGTATGAAGTAAACCCTGTTGGAACTTTGGTGTAGATTTATGCTTAACTAATAGTTATTTTGGTGAAATCATAGTATTCATGTAAAATAATTTATACAAAGTAGGACTGAGCCCTCTAGTTTCTTTTACTCACCTAGACTTTTAATAATAAATGTAAATTCATTCTTTTTGATGGCTGGATAATATTCACTTGTAAGATGTGTCACTAATATATTTCAGAATCCTTTACTAATGGTCACTTGTCTTAGGATGCTTTTTAAAGTTATACTTTAGTTGTCATTTTTTCTCAGCCATTTGTATGTACAAATTATCTAGGTGCTCAAGGGGGAAGAAAAAAGCAAAAGAAACAAAAATAAGCACATACACCCTTGTTGTCTGATTTGTTTTCAGTGTTTGGGGTATGATATTTAAATTGACAGTTCATATTATGTTGAAAGGCCACTTCTGACTACCTCAATGATGGACATGATACACTACCTCCTGAGGGATATTGCAAGCAATAAATTAACCGATGTTTCTGAATGCTTGCAAGATGAAAATTACTAGGTGTTATTTTAACAATGACCAAAGAAGACATGATCAAGTCTACCCACATCCGAGAAGGTTATCAGGCTGGAATGCACAGGTTTATCCTATTCAATCCCAACATACCTTATCAGTAGTTCATATGGAAGAAATCCATCCACACATAGCCAATGCCCCATATGTCCACACATAGTGAAGGGCTTGGAGATGCAGAACACATTCATCTCCGCCCTTGGTGAGGTAAACCTACTGTGAGCTTTGTTTTGGTGTCATCTTTTTGAGCTAATTTCCGGAATGACTGAGTTCTGCTTAAGCACACAAACGATTGTTCATTCTGAGTGATCAACTTCTAACTCCTTTAAGAGACATATTTGTGGCCACGTGCTCATTCTAGTCTAACTTCTTTTGTTGCCACTCATTCAACCTGAAAGGAACAAATTGTCCAAAGCTTGTTATTCTCTACCAAGATATTAAAGATTAACAGAGATTATAATCCTTCCCTAGAGAATCGGGATTGCAAAGGACTCCAGATATGTGGATAAACAGAACGGTGGAATGCTTATCTGCCTAATTTCTACCACATGTTGGCCCTAAAAAGTTAGTCACTACCTTCTCATCGCACAAAAGTATCTGCAATTCTAGAATCAAACCTATTACAGTAAAGTTATCTATTTAACTATCTAACAGTTCAAATTTACCTGTATTCTCAGTGTCTTGAACAGAGTGGGTAAAGGGCAAACTTCTGCTGGTTATGGTGGGAGAAGATGTGTATGTGTTGTGCTGGGGAGTAAGTAGGTAATTATTCTGGGGAAATAAATGTAGTGAGTACACATTTTATGGTCCCAAAGAAACAGGATTTTGCCATCTAGAGTGCCAGTACTTACTCTTCTTCCTTTATTTCCAGGTGTGTAAATTGTAATGATGGACATCCTAACGACTGGCTCATCTGGTAAGGATATCTGCAATTTATTTCGTAAACCACAAGGTGTTATATACCCACTTGTTTTCCTTAATAATCTGAAAAAAATGTATGAAGTTATACAACATACAGAAATTTTAAGGGTCCTATAAAGCACTCTCTATAAAAACAGTGCTTAGATTGTTGGCCAGTGTTTTCTTTAAAGTATATTTAACAGAAAATTTAACTGTATGTAAGAATAAAAATGTATTCTGGAGTCGGAGAAGATTGATGGTAAAATGAATGTTTTTTCTCTTGGAATTTTTCTCAATGATTCCTCCACTGATTTCATTTCTGGCTATGCAAGATACACATAATAAGCATCCACCTCTTTTATAAGATAGTCCCTCAGAAATTTTAAGACATTCGTTATAACTTCCTAACTCAAGACTTTCGTATTTTTCCAAGTTGAATATTGTGGATTGCATCAATTAGAGAATGAGCTGCTTACAGGTGGAGACTCATCTTTTCAATGTTTGAATTCTGACTGTAAAATCTAAAGTATGTTCACTTATTTAAATAACAAGTTGAATGGATGGATGGGAAGCTGCATGGGAGGAAGGTGGAAGGAATAGAGGGACAGACAGAGAGAGGGAGGGAGAAAGCAAGGAGATACTTTTTAGAATAACTCCGATTTCCAGGAAGAAGTAGTTATCTCCACTTGGTAAGACCAACCCTCCCTGAGGGGAGCCACACGGCGGGAGGGCTCAGTAGCCATCTTTAGTAGGAGAGATTCATTAAAGAGGTCAGCATCCTGATTTGCCTGCACCTAGCCTCACTGAGTCCTTGTCCACTTTCCAGGGAGTAACAGAAATTTTTAACTTTCCACGTGGTCCACCTCACTTCTGCCCTGATACTTTTGGCATCAGGTTATTGCTTCTGGTTTTCTTCATGGCTTTTGTCTGTGGAGTGTTGCTCTTTTGTCTCCATCACTGGCTGAACAGTCACCAGACTGATCCCTCAAGAAGCGCCATGGCTGTTTTTGCTGTTGGAGATTTGGGCACCAACTGTGGTGAGTTCTCTGCATACTTCGGGACCCTTCTGTGAAACCTTGGAGAAGTCTCCTCTGCAATGCAGATTTTTGAACTTCAAATAAGATGTGGCTTGTGGGAGATGGAAAGAAGTGCTCTGAGGAGTGAGAAAATGTCAGAAGAAAGGAAAACTGTCTTAAGGAACTGATTCATATTTTAGTATGAGTGTAGAAACTAAAGAGATTCCAGGTGAGTGGCAGAGCTTAACGTGCAGAAGAACACTGCTGAGCTTTTGACATCAAGCTCTCCTACCCTGTATTCGTACTCTTATTTCCCAAGCACTCTATGACTCCCTTAAGTCATCTGAATTCACACTGAGCTATACTTTCCAGAATGCTGCTACTGCAGGGTCTAAAATCACTAGAATTGGGCAGGGAAGTGTCAATCCTTAGTTTTTTCTCTCTGAACACACTGAGAACACCCAGATGCCCCTCCAACCAACCTCCTCTCCCCCAAACCATATCCCTCCCACCAGTTCCCAGTTTGCACAAGGAAGTAAGAAATACAGAAATAAGAGCACTTTGAGTTATTTGTAGCTTTGAGGCCTCACTGTAAGTGGACAAAAACAATCACTTCCTGGTTTCCAGAAAGCTACAGTGGCTGGGTGAGCCTTTCAGGTTAAACATGGTCCTGTTGCAGAAATTGTATATAAATTTCTGTCTCGGGCATCACATTGCATATCACATTTACCTCAAGAGTGCTTGGTAAAAATTAACAGCTGCCTTGCAGCAATTTAGGCCCACATGAGATTTCCAATGTTTGGAACAAGGTGTGCTTTGGGAAAAACTAACAAATAATAGTAGAGTAAAAATAGTCTAAAATGTTTATGTCCAACCTTTTGGCTTGCCTCCTGCTGCACTGAATGAAGAGGAATTGTCTTTAGCTACATGTAAAATATGATATAGTCAATGTATATATGTAACAAAACTTGCTTTGCTTTTTGTATTTGTTATTACAAACCTTAAAAAAGAGGGCAAGCAGCCCTTGGGCTGTAGTTTAGACACACTTGAAAAATTTAATGATTATTTTCATTATTGGCCTTTTTTCTCCAAAAAAAGTCATTTAAAGAGAACATGACATTATCAGTTTGGGAAATGGTTATTTTTGGAAGGACAATTAAATTCTATAATGACAATAGATCTTTCTCCTACAGTCAAAGACACTTTTCATGGAGCATACAGGGAAACAGGTCACTGGCCTTCTAACAAAATATACTTGTCAAAGAGATTTACATGGCAACATTGGTCTATTTTCCTTTATTTAACTAAAGAGAGTTATAAATGTGATTATGTCCTCTTCCTCTTCCTTGCTTTTCTGAAGGGGAGCCTCAAGCTATCTTCTTACTCTAAAGAAGATTGTTTTATTAGACTGCATTAAATCTTAAACGAAGTCTATTTCTAATTTTAAGCATATTATTAAGCTACTTTTGCCATTACAATCTTAAAGCAGTTTATGTGCCACAGTTACAGCCCTATGTGTCCTAATATTTTTCAATTTTCTGTGTGGTGGTTTCCAGATATGCTCCTGAATTTGACTGAATTATCCTAAATTGGTGTGAGATAAGGCAGCAAGGTTGATCCATTGCCTTGACAATCTGGATATAATGGCATTTAGTGCTGGGCATTCTCTACATTATCCCAGAGTCATTATGAACTGGAAAACAACTTTGATGGAATTATTTTTAAATAATAATATAGTCACAATTTATTTCATATCTCCCAAATGCTAGGCAGTAGACTGAGACTTTTTAGATATTATCTCTATTTAGAAAGTCATCATTATTTCTCTTAGAGGATATTTCTTCCTTCTTTCCCTCTTCTGGGAAAATAAGTCAAACTGTCCAGAAACTGGGATACCTATCCAATTAAAGATTTAGAAAGGCACATCCTGGCCATGAAGGACAGCTTCGTATTCTGAACATTAAAATATTTCCACTTAGTGACTGCTTAATGGTATGGATTATGTTCTACAATTTTCATTCCTGTCCTCATTCTGTCCTTTCAATCCTACTGGTTTAGCTTCTGGATCTTATTTTGCTGAAAAAAACATTTAAACTCTTCAAAAATCTCTCATCTGTTGTTATCCAACCTGGAGACCAGGGGCTCAGTTAGCTGCCCCTCCCAGTTTATCTTTTCTTTCACCTACTGCCCATCACCCCTTCTGCCCACAGGGCACTCAATATGGTTATAAAGCAACAAATAGCCATTCACATAGTCCAATGTGACTGTCATCCTCGAGTTGTATTTTTAGGCACTCAGTTTCTCCATTCCAGAAAACACGAATTTAGAAAGTGGTACATTCTGGGATCCTGGGACATTTCTTAGCTAGTGATTTCTGGAAATAAATTCCAGTGAGTTAATATTTTGATGCAGTCTGAAACCTGGGACCACATTGGACTTAATTTTCTGGCCAGATTCTATTACACATTCATCTCTTCTAGGGCCGGGGATTTAGCTCAGTGGTTCCAGTGCCCGCCTCACATTCATTTCTTCAGACAAATGATTCCGACCTAGTATTTCTATAAGAAGGATTTTCTCTCCAAAGTGAAGGTAGAGAACCACCCCAGGATCTTTATGTGGCTACAGAAAGAGATGAGGGTCAAAACCATAACATCTACTTCCAGGAGTCCCACAGAATATGTGCTTATAGCTTGAGAGCTATTCCAGCCACAGAAAGATTCATGGGTCTACACTGAGATTATGGGCCTGTCCTTTTCAGTTTTCATTACAACCACTATTTAGAAGAGAGAGAAAATTGAGAAAACACTTGAATGCCATTGGTGACACTTTAGAATATGAAACAGCCTCTGGACTTCCTGCCATCTTTTACACACAAAATGGAGGACACGATGTTCCCTCCAGAATACAAAATGTGGGAAATGGATCATTTAAAACATTTTAATGCAGACACTAGATTTGATATATTAACCTTCGGTTCCTCCCAGACCTTTATTTTATTTTTTCAAAAATTATTTCCTTTTAATATCACTACTTGTTGAACATATTAGTTGAAATATCTCTGTTCTTCTGACCAAAAGGTCAGAGGTTTCACTCTCAGGATCTCATGGAAGCTGCCCTCAAAGGAGAAGAGCCAAGAGAAAAATTTTGGCTACATATCAAGGGCTGGAGTTGACAAAACTTTACTAACATTAAAATATATAAAATAAGCCACTTGTCTTCATAGCAATTCCTGCCAATATCACATGGCTCGGGATGCAAATTATCTTGATTAGAAATATTGAAGAGAAGAAAATAACCATTTGGTTTAGCATATTGGTGCATCTCAATCTCTCATGAGACTTCAGATCCGGGAAAGATCCTTGGGAACTCAGCCAAATATTCTAGGTCCTAAGAGCACCTGGTCAGTGTTTATGCCTTTTCACAGTACCCAACTGATTAGTGCACAGATGGTTTGATCTTTCTTTCCTTCATAGCATCTCTGGTTTTGAGTGGTAGATTCTAGACTCAGGTTTTCTCTAAATAACCACTAAGTTCAATAGAAGCAATCCTGATACCTACCTGAGCTCAATCATCACCTTCTCTGTCCATATATGATATCATGGCTCCCTTTATCCTCCAAAAAGGAAGCAATGGTCCTGCTGAATGGTACTCCCTATTTTAAGCTTACTTGTATACCCTGTTACACTTGTATGCTTAAGTCCTAATGCCGAGGCAATAGGAATATGATTGTATTGAAGACAGTTTCTAAAAAGCTAATTTATTTAAAATGAGGTAATAATGGTGGGTGTTAATCCCATATCTCTAGCATCTTTATAAAAAGCGGAGATCAGGGTACAGACAATCACAGAGAGAAGCTTTCATGAAGACCCAGGGAGATGATAGAGCTATCTGCTGGCCAAGGACAGAGGTCTCAGAGAAACCAGCCCTGCTCATACTTGATCTTGGCCATCCAGACCCCAGAATTGTGAGCAAATAAATTTACCATGTCTGTGGTACTTCGTTATGGTAGCTCTAGTAAACTAGCACACTCTACTTGGTGTGGTGGTGAGGAGGAGGAGGAAGAAGAAAAAAAATAAAAGAAGAAGGAAAAAGAAATTTATTTAATTTATACAAGCTCTAAAATCGTCTTATTTTTTCTGCTTCAGTCCTGCTTCTTGTCCTAAACCCAAACACAGTACCTCTTATGTAGTGTCTCTTCCCTCATCCTCCTTTCCCACCCACTTATCTTCTGGATCATTTTCATCCTTACTGTCTCTACTACAATCCCAGAAAATATCCACTCCATGCCCTTAAGGCTTCTTGATGGGATCATCCATGAATTAATTTCTGAATTCTTTTTGCTTCTCTTCTTTTACCCATCAAACACTAACTATTCTAGTAATATTTAGGTGTTTTTTCCTAGTACCTATATTAGGGGTAAAATCTTGGTGCCTTATTTATTTTAATATATGCCTTTGGAATCCCCCCTAATTGATAACTCAAAAATAATTACAACTTTTCCCACACCCCCCCAAATAATAGAAATAGAGAGCTCGAATATACACTGGGCCATCGAAAATGATTTCTTAAAGGGCGATATGCAGTTTTTTAATAAAGGTGGGAAACAAGGACAGACAATTGTTAGAATTCTCATGTAACCACATATGTCTTAATTTGTGCATATTATTTGCAGATTATAAGCCTTTGCAAGACACAATGAAATAGAAATTACAAGTGATTTGAAACAGAAGGAAAAAACCCCCTATTTTTTGATTAGGTTCATTGTTTTGTTGAAAGTCTGTGTTTGGAAAGTAGATAATGTCAAAGAATTTTAAAAAATATTATGAAAAGCAAAAAGTATTTATTTTAACTGAGAAGAAGGATAAAAGTAAGATTTATTAAAAATAAGATTGTGAGGCTGAATAAATTCCCACGTTCATGAAGAAGGAGGCATTTAAAGATAATAAAGAGAAATAACTTTGGCATCTTGGAGATGAACAAAGGACAAAGAAAAGAGAGTTACAGCCCATCCCCTTGTTTGCCCATATTTTAATGAAAAATTGCAAATTGCTGTAAAATCTATCAAGGTTCCTTTGCCTGAATGCCATGTTTTCTGTGGATTGGGGCTGTGAGTCCTCTTAGGCCTGAGAAGGTCATCTGGCTTTTCTGAGGGGACAGCCTGTGGAGACACTTATCTTGGGGACCCTCATTGTCACTTAGCTTCTCGAGGCTGGTGTCGCCTCTAGTGCTGCCCTGGAACTATCCATTCTCCCTGACCCCATTTCTTCTGCAATCTCAGAGATAATCTTCCCTTTCTCCTATTTCAGAGAAAATAGAAATGCTGAGTGCAGCAGTGATTACGTGAGAGTGCCTGGAGCTGACAGGGGAGGAGGGCTGGAGAGAGGTAACAGGAACAGGGCCTCATATATTCCACTCTGCTCTCCCTCCTGGTCTCTTAATCTTCTCTTGTTTTAGGATCCTTTAGCTATCTTCTCTCTGTGTTTTATGTCCTACATTTAAATAACCTGTGGCTTATTTTAAGTAAGGAAAGAGGGAACATTTCATTCACACCTGCTTGTGGAAAGGCACCCTAATAGTAAGCACTCCTGTTACTTTAGCACTATTTACTATGAGCCATGCTTTTGATACCTCAAATCTCATTTATTCTTTCCTACAGTTCTATGAGGGGTTAATGATCACCCTTTAACATTGTGCAGTTGAGGAAATGAAGGTATTAGCAGATTAAGAAGCAGAGATAGTTAGGCATGGAGGCATATGTCTAAAATCCCAGCATTTTGGGAGGCTGAGGCAGGAGGATCACAAGTTTGAGCCCAGTCAGGGCAACCAATTAAATATAACAAAGGGCTGGGGGTGCATCTCAGTGGGAAGACTCTGTGTTTAATCCTCAGTTCTGTGCAAAGCAAACAACAACCATCAAGGTAATAGTAGAACTATGACTCAAATTGAGAAGTTTTAGCAACTTCATATGTGAGAAATGGATAATATAAAAAAAAAGAAAAGAGGACAAAGAGAAAAAGCATGTTAAAAGGTCAAATCTGTTGAAATTATTCTTAATAATGTGGGAAATCTAAACTCTGATTTTAAAACTCAGCAGTTAGTGTATTGGTTTTACAAAATTGAACTATAAATTTCAATACCCTAGCTAGCAGTTCTTGCAAAACTAAAGAACTTTTGTAGACATATTAAACTGAGTTCTCTTGGGTTCTTAGCTTGTTGAAAGATAAAAAATAATGTCTACCTTTCCTAGCCACAATCATATGAAATCTTATGTAAACAATTTTTGAAAAAAATTGGGAACTGATAAATGTTCCATTTCACAAGCTTCCGAGTACATTGGCATAGTTAGGTTTATCAATCAATGCCTTATGGTTTTCATGTCAAGTTTAAGGGAAACCACTAAATTCCAAGTAACAAGATAATAAAACTATCCTGCCACAGAGAGCTACTGTTAAGATTATATCACCTTGAGCATGATATTGATAATGGCAACAGTAGAAATGCATTGGAGCTAGCACAAATTATAAATGTGTAGAGTCAACTGGTCAAGCATTTCCAGGTGGAAAGACAGCTAAGTTATCATTGAATTTGTACTGACATGCCAGGAGCAGTCTGCCAGGAAAATAGTCAGTGTTCAGTATAAGTATTTACAATGAAAGAGATTTTGAGGGCCAGTGTGTTTAATCTCTGTACAAGCCCTGCAGAATTAGCTGATTTCAGCCTAAATCTGTGAACTGAAAAAGACTTTACTTCCATGATATTCATTATTGAATAATTTCTATGAGTTAATAATGATAATGACTAAATCATTATTTAACCATTACAATAGGATAGAAGAGGAAATTATATCATAAATAATATCGCTAACATATTATAGTGTTCTTATATAATGATGATAATACTAATAAGCCTTTACTGTGTGACCGGTCTCATCCTAAACACTGCACACTCACTTGATCTTACTTTTATAGAGGTAGATACTATCATTATCCTTTTATTACATAAGAGGAATATGGAGTCAATAAATATTATACAATATACTAGGAGTGCATTATTGAATTAAATAAGTAACTTGCTAAGAAAAATACTGAACCAAAAGGAGAGACATATTCTAAATATAGCTTTACCCTTCACATATGATATTAACATTTGAGTAATTATACTTTGCTATGAGGATCAGCAAGGTAAGAAATAAGCCAAATAAAAATGTGGGAAAATATGTCATTCTAAATTATCATTCTCCACACCAAAATAACCATTTTGAGTAATCTACATATGGAATCCAGAGATACAACTAAGGCCAAACAAGTAACAACTCTTGAAATTCATTTGGTAGTTTTGGCATGTTCTTTGGAATCTTCCCAATGGTGTCAAATCTTAATCCTTTACAGAAGGAAAGCAATCATCTCCTATTAAAGAACAGATGGAATATATTTTGGGCTTTTCAATCCATGTGATCTTTCTGGGGTCTGCTCACCTCCGCTACTGTGGATCAAAAGCAGTCACAGGCAGTACATAAATGAATGTGCATGGTTGTATTCCAATTACATTTAATATACAGAAATAGTCAAGGCTGGATTTACTTCAAGGCCCTAGTTTCTTCTTTAAATGTGAATTGATATAATACTCTAGTTTCTCTTCTGATTGTATAAATCTTTTGCCTTAAATATGAATTGATAGTTATCAATATTGTTTTGGAATGGAGCAATCAAAATCATTCAAAGTCAGGTAAAGATCCAAGTTTAAACATATGAAGAGAAATGGTTTTAAAAATTACTATTGATTTTCTCTGTGACTCAAAAATAATCTCTCAAGGAGATACTAATAGATTTCCAACTTATTGGAATAAATTTAAGGTCTCTCAAGGTGACCAGTTTATGGAAGAAAAGGCTTTCTAAAAAAGTGTTCAATGACATTGTTGCACCTAACTGAAATGAAGAATTTTTATTTCAAAGTACTTGTTTTAAATTTTGGAATGTCTTCTCATTATTGTGCCTATATATTTTAAATATAAAATTTCCATCATGTGGGCTGGGGATTTAGCTCAGTGGTTTCGCCGCTTGCTGCGCAAGCTCAAGGACCCGAGTTCGATCCCCGGTACCAAAAAAAAAAAAAAAAACCCAAAAATTTCCATCATGTATCTAAAATTTTTATTATTATTGGAAGGAAATCTTTAAAGCCATTATTTAATTTAATTTCAGTTCACAAACATAAATATAAAGCAATGCAATTTAGAATATGATATTTCAATGTTTCTAGTAAGACTGGCATTTCCCATGATGGGAGCCTTAACTAAAATGCCATGAGTGTTTAAAAGATTCTTCTTTTGTGATCTACAATACACTAAAAGTATTCTTTCTAGTTTTAGTTACTAAATTGTAAATTTCCTGATGGGTTAGCCAATGATGACATAATCAATCTAGTTGAGGAAATTTTCTTCCTAAAGTGACTAAACTATCACTGTAGAGAGAAAGATGGTTATACATTTTTTTTCTCAAGGGCACAAATAATTTCCTCTTTCTCCAGTGATTAAGAAATGCCAGATTTCATCAGTCAGTTCTTGTGATTCTTTTCTATGCAGACTAGAACGATTACATTTTCTATTTTTCTTTCCAGGTACAGAAGCAGCTGTGAATCCCACTGTTGGATTTCACTTTCAAACTCAAAACCCAGAACATCATCCTGTTTCACATTTTGGCACATTAAGCCCTTCACCTTCATAGGAAGATGTTCTAAAATCTGAATCATCAACTAGAAATATTAGAAACAGCTGCAATTTTAAACCATCAATTTAGGTACAATTCTTTTATTTAGTGGGAATTCCTAAAACTCTATTAATATAGTCTGAACGGGAAGAATAGATAAAAGAATGGATGTAGGAAAGAGTTTTATTCTTGGAGATGTTTTAAGAATGAATTAGTAGACCCTTGATATTTTTCTGCTGTGTTATATTTTTACAAGCAAGTAAATATTTCTTCATTAGAGCTCAAAGAGACAGGAATCAGGTGAGGTTGGAATCACCTCCGTTTAAATTTAAGATTTCTCTGTATTACACAAATGCTATTCTCTGCCCCCAAATTTCCATCTCTATCTGACTTCTTTCCTAACACAGTGTCAATAGCAATCATCACAATTTAACAATAGCCTAAGCAGAAATTCAGGCATGTTCCATACTAGAACCAGAAAGATAAAATGTTTGAGTTAGGATTAAAGGGGAGATAGGATAAAAAATTAAGTTTCAAGTTGAAGAGGGAAGCAAACATGAAGAAGAGGAAGTGATCACAAATTTCATGCCAAGAAGTTTTATTCCTTAGTTCAAGGAGGGAGAAATTGTAGACAGGAGCCGAAAGCAATTGCTTAAGACATGAAGCATGTGTAATGCCAGTGTGGGAAGAGAGAGGAGAAAATTCCCATTTTTCTTGTGTCATTGTGTTTTCCAGAAACTACAGTTTCTCTCTAGTCCCCTGAGGCTTGGTATAATGAGAAACTCTGGCATAGATATCATTGTTCTCATTGAGGACTCTGACTGCAAATGTAGTAATAAAATCTTTACAAGGGACCTTTGGGCAGTGGAAGAGTAGGGAAAAAACTCCATTTCAGTTGCCACGTGGTATCCAGTAAATTTCTTGTACAAAACAATTGACATATCCAATTGGTCATCAATAGATCTGAGATTCAGCTTGGCCAAACTTAGCTCCTAATCTTTTCTCAATTCTGTTTCAGCGAAACCTCACTCAGCTAATGATGTGTCACCCTTTCTGTGACTCAGGTTAAAGAACTTGAGTATTCTCTTTATGTTATTTTCTATGTCCCTTCATTCAGGAAGGTTTGTTGGCTTTACTCTTTTTTTATTATTATTAAATTCTTTTATTGGTACATTGTAGGTATACAACACAATTACATTTCTCATTGGGAACTTGTACCTTTACATAATGCATCTTAGTTCTTATTTTTCCCCATTCCTAGCCCTCCCTTCACCCCCTCCACCCTTCCCTATTTACAAAGACTTTATTTCCATTTCTCATCATTTTTCCTTTCCCTTCTTTCCTTTCCCCTGCCCCTCCCACTACCCCTACCCCTTTGGATCTTTTCTTCCTAATTTGCATTATCCATTATTCATTCTAATCATTGGTACATTTTAGGTATACAATATAATGACATTCATCATTGGAAATTTGCACCTTTACATAATCTCTCTTGGTTCTTATTTTCCACCCTTGCCCAGCCCTCCCTTCAACCCCTCCATTCCTCCCTATTTACAAAGATTTTGTTCCTATTTTTCCATTTTCTCATATTAATCCCATTCCCTTCTATCCTTTCCCCTAGCCCTCCCACTTCCTTCCCCTTTGCCCCTTTTCTTCCTATTTCACATTACCTATTATACATTTAGTCCTTATTTACACTTTCAGTTTCTCACACCAGAGAAACTATTCGTTATTTATACCTGTGTGTCCTATTTATTCCACTTAAGAGTATCGGATGTTGGCTCTACTCTTAAAATATGTCTGAATTCTCCGGGTTCTCTACCTACTATATCTCTAGAAAGACATTCAGCATCATTCAGTTCTTGACTGCAATAGCATCTAAACTGGTCCATTTTCTCCTGCCTTTGCCTCCTATTTTTAACTTCTGATACAGTAGTAAGAGTAATCTTTTACATATACTTTTTAAGAGCAGTTTGATGTCCACAAAAATATTGAGCAGGAGGTGTGGCTTTTTCCAATTTAGCTCACCTTTATACATGTATATACTCCATTGTTATCAACATCCTTCCCAAGCAGTCCATTTGTTAAAACTGATAAAACTTCACTGACGTATTACATTACACGGAGTCCTTGGTTAATATTAAGTTTAATTCTTGGTATTGTAAATTCTATGGGTTAGGCAGGTTCATAAAGCCATGTATCCACTATCATGGTATCATATCAATACCCGAATATACCCTTTGCTCTGCTTACCCAATGTTCGCTCCTCTCCAACTCCTGGCAACGATTGGCGGTTTTGATGGAATATCATATAGTTGGAATCAGATAGTACCTAGTCTTTTCAGTTTGGTGCCTTTGTCTTTGTGATATGTATGAGATCCAACTATGTCTTTTCATCACTTGATACTCTATGTCATTTCAGTGCTAAGTAAGATTCTATTGTCAGATATACAGCCATTTATTCATCAGTTTACACACTGAAGGACATCTTGGTTGTTTCTAAATTTTGGCAATTAGGAACAAAGCTGTTATTCACATCAATGTGCAGGTTTTTCTGTGGGATTATGTTTTTAATTCCTTAGGTAAATACCAAGAGCAGGGTAGTAGGATTGCCCATTTAAATTTTAACAAATTGCCAATCTTCCAAGGTGATTACACCATTTTGTAGTTCATACTGTAATGAATGAGAGAGCCTGTTGCTTCACATCCTTTCCAGTATTTGGTTTCGCCAGTGTTCTGGAATTTGGCCACTGTCTTAATTAGTGTTCTCTTTGCTTTGAGAAAATACTTTATGCCAGTAAATTAAAGGAGGATAGGTTTATTTTGGCTCACAGTTTGTAGAGGTTCAGTCCATAGTCCTGTGGCTCCAATGCAGGACAGAATGACACACTGGAGCTGCTCAGGGCAAGAGAACAGGAAGCAGAGAGAGCCCAAGAGAAGAGCTGCAAAGGAAGATGAACCTTTCCAGGCCATGCCCCCAGTGACGGCCTCTTCAGACCAGACCCCAGCTCCTAACAGTAAGCCAGATATATTTTGCATATAATCCAATCACCTCTCAGAATCCCCACCTGTGATTGCATGAGGCATTATAGGGTCATCTAGATATAAAGCATAACAGTCATTGTGATTGGTATGTGGATGTATTTTACAGTTGTTTTAATTTGCATTTCCCTGCTGATATATGGTATGGATCCTCTTTAATAGCAAGAGGAATCTTTTTACCATACCAGAAAAATCATGCCCCTTCACTAAACTCCAATGATACTACACTTCAACCAGAGAGAATGTCAAAGGCCTTCACACATGCCCTATGTGATCTGTACCTCTTTTGAGTTTCTCTCCTAATGAATGATTCTTTCCTTTATTCATTTGTTCCAGGAACACTATCTTCACGTATACTGGGCATTACACTTTCCTATTCCCTTCTCTCCTAGGAGGCTGTAACACTGTTTTTCTTTTTGTTTGCCACAGGGTTTGTTCTAGATGATAGCATTACTTCATCTATTCACCTTCTTGTAGCAATTTTTCAAAAGCTGTCTTCTCAGTGAAGCCCATTCTCAATATTGTACTTGTAAGCACAGCTTCTCCCAACCAGGCATTCCTCACTTCTGAATGCAAGTACATTTTTCTTTATAACATGTAGCATGTGCTACTACTGTATGTCATAGCTCAATTCTGTTTGTAGATTGGTGTTTGTCTTTTTTGCCAAGAATAGAAATAAATGAGCTGAAACTTCATTATTTTCTTTGCTGATGTATACCTTGAGTGTCTAAAGTAGCTTACTTGATGCTTAGTGTGCATTTAAGCAATTTTTGTAAGCAATAATCCCTCATACTAGAAATTTCAAGAAGTCACTGGATGAGAATTTAATGGGAAGGAGGTCTTATGAAACTTAAGTGAAAACCAGGGACAGCTAACTTAGAACTGTTAGCGTAATGTTATTTGTGTCCACTGATGAAAGAGGTCTGATGAAGGAACAAATGAGTGTTAATGTCTTGTACCAATGCCTGATGAGTGTGGAGAGATTAGTGCACAGACTTCATGCACACACACACACACACACACACGCACACACACACACCACCAAATTTTTTCTCGTGACAATTTTAAGACCTGGCTATTCCTAACTTCAAGCTACATGTGGTAGAATGAACATATCTTCCTTCAGGAACCCAGGAGGGTTGCAGTAAAGGGATGGATGAGTATTTAATTCACAAGAATGATGAGACTATGTAGTGAAAAGATGACAGGAGTTGGCCTTAAGGTCTTAGTACCAGGAAAGATTGACATGGACAGAGATGACTGTCTTAATTGAGTGGGGTTTCAAGTTTGTCTGCTTTGCTAAGTATCTTCAGGGGAAAAGTTGAGAATAATCAAGCAACTCTAAAGTGAAGCAATCCAGAAATGCCCAAGAATTAAAGGCAAGAGAATTGTAGAGAATTCTGAAAATTAGAAGAAAGCGAATCTACAGGGAGATGTCATTGCAGCAGCCAGAAGAAATGGTTCCAATCAGAAACTGAAAAGAAAGAGCTGTGGGATAAGGATGATTAGAGAAAGATATCAAGTGTACATGTGGCCACAAATTAATGATTGACAAACAGAAAATGAAAGAAATGCGGAAACAAGGCAATTTAAATCCAGATGTTGAATTAACTAACAGATGATTAAGCCATGAGCAATACACTCAGTACTGTTTAAAAACGTTTAATAATGAATAGTGTAAATAACATTATTAAATTAATTAGAATTGTTAAATTAATATTTTCAAATGTGTGTTATTCAAATTGTAAATCTTGGCCAAAGAAAAGTGTGTGCGAGGGAAGGTGGCAGGATATAGTAGAAACCTAAATCCTCAATCTCAGATTATGATAATTCAATTAATACTATGTGCAACTAAATAAAAATCAAATAGCAATAAAACACATCATTTGTAAAGTAAGATCATACATATTAATAACAAAAGATTGTAAGTTGAAGAGCCGAGGCTCAACTAATATGACAAAGAGATAACGACTTGT